GGAGGGGGGAAATATTAAAAATTACTTATTTACTCTTAGCATTAAAATCAAAACCCTCTCTATATATATATCCAATTTCTTAACCCTCCATTTTTTAAAATGGTAAAATTATAAAAATATCTCATTAACTCTGTATTTTTCTCTCTTGTCATAATTTTAACTCGCAAATAAGGAAAAGAGAATACCCTTTACTTTCCTTCCCCTCCCTCTTAGATTCCCTTCCTTTCCTTCTCCTCCAAACTCACAAACAAAACTTTAAATGCGGGATTCATCTTGCAAGCCCTCTGTTTAGATTATAGGAGGTGTTTGGTATGAGTATTTGGTATGGAATGATGGGAAAGTCGGGTGGAGAATATTTATTTACTATGTTTGGTATATGTATTGTGAATAAAATGCCAGTAATTTTTTTAATTTTTTTCCCACTCAACCTTTGATATATTTTTTTTCCTTGGTCTTGGATTCTGAAAAACTAACATTTGATTCATTTTTCCCCAAAAAAAAGCAACATTTGATGATGACTCACTTTTTATATTAAAAAAATTAAGGGTATTTTGATAATTTTTATTCACATTCCCATCAATATTTTATCATCAACCAAACATAGCATGAGTAAAATTAATCAAAATTTTGGCCAACCAAACATTTTTTTATAACTTACCCAGGATAAAAAAATTCTTACCAAATCCCCAACAATCTTTTGTCCCCCAGTAAAAAAAAATATCTCTCCTACCAAAATCCCCAACATTCTTTTTTTCAGTAACAAAAAATATCTCTCGTACCAAACGCTTCCTAGACATAATTTGGATGGAAAAAGCTGCCTATATTTTGTCGTTGTGATTGAATTGGCAATGTTGTTAATAAGTAAAGCCGTTACTGGGCCGGGTCTAACAATCATTAGATTAAATCAGTGTCTTCACTTGAATCTGTTCGAAAATTATTTCAAAAATATATAAGGGAGTAATTATCCCCTTTAATTCTAAAACACATTGTTTTAGGATTGAAAAACAAAAAATATAACATATTTAACAAAAATTACCTTTAACCTGTAATATAAACTTTTTCAAGATGCCTGAATTTTTTTAAAATTAAATCATTTATTGGCACTCGTTTATATCAAAAGTAATTTGCTTTTTTCTTTCTTTCTTGGTCTTGCTATATTCAGTACTTGCGTAAATAATTTTATCGAAAGGGAAAAAGAAAAAGAAAAAGAAAAAGAAAAATGTATATGTAGTTTCATAGTCCAATTTTTTTTCAGTTTCAAATATATAAAATGCTACGAATTATTGCTAGATTGAACCATGCTTGAAGTAAGTGGCAAAGGATATTCACACTCGGGATGTGATTGCACCATTTAATAATATTATGATTTATGACATGTGATTTGAAAGTCGTCTCTAGAACCCTGTTTATCACCAATTGAATTTTAACTTACATCTAGCAGTAGCTGCATGAGCACCAATGCAGCATGAGCTGGAAAACGCAGTATCAAGAGGACAAATAGATAATAGATTCAAAGCTATAGGGCTCTACTTCTCAGTATCATATTTGGATAAAGAAAGACAAGGGCAGAATCCATTCAAGGCTTAGTACAATACTGCTTAAACAATTTCTTTAAGACAAATCAATAGTAGCTATTGTCTCTATCTATTTAGCTACTAGAAAACAAAAGGAAAAGAAGAAAAAACAGAATCTTCCCTGGAGCCAATCAAATTATATTAATCCTAATTTGGTAAAACAACGATTTGCATATACTGAAAAAGACAGAAACCAGCTATTCTCTGCAGGTAAAGTTAACAAGTATTAAAAAAGAAAGAGTAAATATCTTTTTGGTCCTCAACAAATTTTACAATACCTGCTTTAGTCCCTAACAAATAAAAAGACTATTTGTGGTCCTAAGAAATTCAAAATGAATCCATTTAGTTGAAATCGCGGTCCTCACAAATTCAAAAAAGATCCACATTAATCCCTCAAAAAGATTAAAATGGGTCCACTTTGAATTTCTTAGGAACCACGACTAGCCTTTTTATTTGCTAAGGACTAGAGCGGATATCGTAAAATTTGTTGAAGACCGAAAAAGGTATTTACTCAAAAAAAAAGAAAATTAGTGTTTTTGAATCTCACATAAAACAACCCATTAACTCGACGAATCCAGGACTATGAACATAATTTGTTCATATTAGATGAATCTTCTTCCTTCTCAATGTTTTAACTTACGATTGCAACTGTTCAAGATTCTTGGCCCTTACCATTAAGCCAAAATCCTATATCTCCTGCAAACCATCTAAATTTCTTAATCCACACCCCCATTAGCCCACTTCCAAAGGCTCGCAAGTCTTCCTGGCTAAACTAAGTGAAATTAACAAGAGTCAATTGATACCACACAATAAAAAATGAGAATGGCTCAATTGAATAACATTCTTAATCCATGCCTGGTTTCCATTTCATTTCTCTTGCTTTAACACTGGGCAAAACAACAACAAAAACAACAACGAAGAAGAAAGGAAGTGAACTAGTCAGAGTATGAGTAAACTCCTTCAAGGAAACTTCCTTCAGATTTATAAGATCCCAAAGAGAAGCGAAGTCTTTCCTAGGATTTACAACACATGATGTATGAAACAAAATCATCCGACCAAGCGAAGTCGTTGATATTTAATGCTCCGAAAGTTGACAGCCTCTTAGACGTTACTACTTATGCATTTCATTTTCATGGTGAAATCCAATCTCAATGAGCAATAAACACACGTCTTCAGCTCAAAGAGGAAGGAAAAGAAAAATTCATGACGACTACTACAATTAGAAATTCGCCAATCCAACAAAAAGTATGGAGGTTGGTGGCTTTTTTTGTCTACTTTGGTTGGGCTGCTTTGTTTTGCTTTTGAGTTCCTCTTTCAAACAACTATTTGGAGAGTAGAACTTGTTGAAGATCTTTGTTTATACTGTGATAAGTCCATTATATGCAACATGATGTTATTTGCAAAGAAGTTGCATGATACAGAGTAATTCTCTATAACAGAAGGAAGCACCAATATGTAAAAGAAAGACAAGTGTATTCTATATTTCACAATGAATCGACATCTGTTACAACATGCATTACTTATATGTCTCAACTAACTATTGCCACGTAAGCTTAACTAACCACGTGGGAAGACCACTAATTGGGTCACTCAAATGTATACAACTCCTATATTAGTAATCTATTACTAGTGAATGTAATCTATTGCCCAAGATGGGCAACCTTTAATCCTAGCTTTTCTGCTTTGTACATCAGCTACTTTTGTGTCTCTAACATCAGCCCTCTCTTCGACAGCAACCTTGTCCTCAAGGTTGAGGGTTGGGTATGTCCTACGAAAAGCAGTGGCATCTTCCCAAGTTGCATCTTCTGAGACTGTAGCTGACCACTGAACCAAGTACTGATGGTGTGGTTTACCTCGCAACTGCACATGCCATGAAGCCGGCAATGCTACAGGTTGTTGGACTGGCCTGTTGTCCCTACTCAATTCAGGAAGAAGCTCACAACTTACATCCGTAGAGCCAAAAAATGGTTTCAAGAGTGATACATGAAAAACTGAATGTATCATACTAGATTCAGGTAACTGCAGTTTATAAGCTACTGCACTAATCACTTTCTCAACCATATAAGGGCCAAAATAGCGCTTGGCAAGCTTGTGATTGGCTCGTCGTTCTACTGACATCTGTCTGTATGGTTGAAGGCGAACCAATACTCTATCTCCCACCTTAAATGTCCTATCCTGCCTATGTTTATCAGCTGCTTGTTTCATTCTGGCCTGAGCTCGAGCCAAATTCACTTTAAGGTGATCAACCACTTCCTGCCTCTGTTGCAACATCATATTGACAGCTTCAATATTGACCTCTCCTTAGTGGTAGCGAGGAATTAAAGTGGGTAACTTCCCATAAACAGCCTGAAAGGGTGACATGTTAATGGAAGAATGGACCGAAGTATTGTAATGTAATTCTGCCCAACAAAGCAATTGAGACCACTTATGATTCTGCTCAGAACAAAAGGCCCGTAAGTATTGCTCTACATAACGATTGGTGACTTCCGTTTGGCCATCCGTTTGAGGATGGTAGGAGGAACTCGCATGTAATTTGGTGCCACTAAGTTGAAATAGGTGACGCCAAAACTTACTCATGAACACTGCATCCCTGTCTGAAACCAAAGACTTGGGAAATCCATGGAGCTTAACAATCAGTTCACAGAAAAGTTGGGCAACAGTAGCAGCTGTGTAAGAAGATAGGAGGGACCCAGAGTGTCCATACTTAGACAATCTATCAACCACAACCAGAATAGTAGTGTACCCATTTGAACGAGGAAGAGATGTTATAAAATCCAGTGTCAAGTCATCAAACATTGCATTGGGAATGGGCAATGGTTGTAATAACCCAAATGGCACTTGGGTAGATCTTTTAATGCGCTGACAGGTAACACAATCACGGATGAACTGTTTAACATCCTTGCGCATATTTTTCCAAGTAAAAGAAGCAGATAAACGCAAGAAGGTGTGTTGGATACCAGCATGGCCTCCCAGTGGTGTACAATGAGCTTCATATAATAATGAGGGACGAAGGGAAGAATTTGAACTAAGCAAACCTCGGTTATTGGTAAAAAGCATATCATCTCTGCGCAGAATGTCAGGATTGTTAAGCGTGCCATTATCCAGGGCTGTATGGATATCCAATAACTCCTTGCTTATTTTGTTCTCTTGCTTGACCAGCTCCCAAAGATCCAAGGTAGGTTCTGAGCACAATGCATGCATCACAGCTGTATCTCCCTCAAAAAATTGTCTAGACAAAGCATCTTCCACGACATTGGAAATGCCAGATTTATATTCTATTGTGAAGCTATAGCCCATCAACTTGTATACATATTTTTGTTGGTCTTCCGTTTGAATAGTTTGATGCAACAATTCCTTTAAGCTTTGATGATCAGTTCTAATAATAAAATGAGAGCCAAGCAAAAAATGACGCCAACGTTTTATAGCTTATGTTAGTGCATATAGTTCACGGACATAAGCAAAGGAGGCTGCCATCCTTGGGCCCAACTTTTTGCTGAAGAAGGAAATTGGTTTACCCCTTTGTAACAACACAGCACCTATCCCCACATTTGAAGCATTTGATTCCACGATAAAGGGTGAAGAGAAATCAGGTAACTGTAAAATTGGTGTGGATGCCATAGCCTCCTTCAAAGCCGTGAATGCAACAGCTGCCTCCTTACTCCAATGAATCTTATCTTGCTTTAACAATTCTGTCAGTGGGTGAGCTATGGCAGCATAACCTTTGACAAACCTTCTGTAGTATCCAGTTAGGCCAAGAAATGCTCTCAATTGCTTGATAGATTGAGGAATTGGCCAATCAAGCATAGCCTCAATTTTCTTGGGATCAGCCTTTACCCCGCAAGCTGTGACCACATGGCCAAGGTAAGAAAGCTCCTCCACACCAAACGCACACTTGCTAAGCTTGACATAAAAGGAATTATGCAACAAACATTTGAGTGCAGTTTCCAAATGAGTAACATGCTCCTCCAAAGAAGGGCTGTAGATCAGCATATCATCAAAAAATACCACAATGAATTTCCTCATATATGGTCGAAAGATCCTATTCATGGCAGCTTGGAATGTGGCTGGGGCGTTGGTGAGACCAAAGGGCATGACCTTAAACTCATAGTGCCCTTCATGAGTTCGAAAGGCTGTCTTATGTATGTCTTCCGGTTGCATCCGTATTTGATGGTATCCTGAACGCAAATCCAATTTGCTGAATATCCTTGCATGATAAAGCTCATCCAATAGCTCATCTATTGTGGGAATAGGAAAAGCATCCTTCACTGTCATGGAGTTCAAAGCACGATAATCAACACACATTCTCCATGTGTTATCATGTTTCTTAACCAACAACACTGGAGATGAGAAGGCACTGTGGCTCTGCTGAATCCATCCAACAGATAATAATTCCCCAACTTGCTTCTCTATTTCAGCTTTGTGATGATAAGGATACCTGTAAGGCTTAACCTTAACAAGATGTGAATCATCCAGTAATTGGATGGCATGAGCTCTATCTCGAAAAGGAGGCAAGGACTTGGGAATGTCGAATACAAGCTGCCAGCTAAACAAAATTTTCCAAACTAGAGCAGGAATTTTATCTTTCAACAGATGAAGATCAGAAAGTACCTGAGAGTCAATGTTGTGCAACTCTGGAACTGAAAGTGCATGACAGGAAGTCTCTAACAAATGTAAATCACCACCCTTAGAATCTTCAGTGATTTGTCTAGAATTGGTTTTCAACCCATCTAGCAGAATCAACTTCTTATTCCAAGTAAACTCCATTGATTGCTCAGCATAATTGTGAGTCACACGGCCCAAAGTGATTAGCCATTTCATTCCTAGAACTATGTTCAAGTCACATAAATCCACAACAAACAAATCTACCGCAAAGCAATGGCCCTGTACCTGGAGTTTCACTTGAGGACATTTCTTTTCACAACTTAAAAATTCGCCATTCCCCATAAACACTCTCATTCTAGTAGCCTTGACCATTGGTAAACTTAACTCTTCAGCTAATTGTCTTCGTATAAAACAATGGGAACTGCCTGAGTCAACCAGTACTTGCACTTCTCGAGTGCCAACCATAACTAGCAAGATCAAGGAACGAGCATCAATCTTCCCAGATAAAGAATGTAAAGCAGCATCCACTCTACTACCTGGAGTTTCTTCTTTTCGCCATAAAATCTCCTCATCCATCTCTCGATCTGGCTCCTCTTCATCAACGATCAACAACAGCATTTTTGCCTTACACCTATGTTTTGAATTCCATTTTTCATCACATGTATAGCATAAACCCAAATCTCTCCTCTTTTGTAAAGCATCCGGAGACATTTTCTTTATTGGCAATTCGGTTGTAGCTGGTAATGCAGGTGGCTTGTCAACTGTGCTTGCTGTGTAAGGTTTAGAGAAAAACTTCTTTGGTTGATTTGAGATAGAGGAACGTAATTCCCCATGATGACTGTCATAAGCAATGGCTAACTGCATCGCTTGATGAAGTGACGATGGCCAACGAATTTGGACTGCTCCTTGAATGTCCGGTTGTAAACCAGCCACAAAAAATGTCATTAATAGATCATCACTAACATTGGAAACTTGATTCACCAATCTTTGGAACTCCGCCATGTAATCTGCTAAAGATCCTTTCTGCAACAGCTTAGCTAGAACGCCACGAACATCCTTGTAATTGGATGGTCCAAAGCGCTCCCGAACTGCACGAACAAATTCCTCCCAAGATTGAACGGTTCCACCGTTGAAGATCCATTGAAACCAATCGGTTGCTACCCCTTCCATCCTCAAACCCGCGAGCTCCACTCTCATCTGTTCTGGAACCTGCTGAATTTTGAAAAATAATTCAGCCTTGAAGATCCAAGAATTAGGTTCCTTACCATCAAATTTGGGTATCTCTGGTTTCACAAACTTTAAGACATGTCTGGGATCATCGGTACTCCAAGAAGCATTCTGAGAAACACGTATATGTGGAGGAGGATCAGGTTTAGAAGAACTCTCAGCAGATGATCTTACAATCTGAGGTAGAATTTCCTTGAAATTGCTCTGCAATTCTTGAAACCTAGCCTCCATGGAGATCAAAAGTTGCTCAATCCTTTGATTATTTTGATTGTTCTGCTCGCGATATTGCAGAAATTCACCAGCCAGCTCCTGCATCTTCATCTTTCCTTGCATGCAGAACGAAAGTCGTTGAGTTCAGCTCTCAATGAGAGCACCAATGATACAGAGTAATTCTCTGTAACAGAAGGAAGCACCAAATATGTAAGAAGAACAAGTGTATTCTATATTTCCAATCTCCCGACATCTGTTACAACATGCATTACTTATATGTCTCAACTAACTATTGCCACGTAAGCCTAACTACCCACGTGGGAGGACCACTACTTGAGTCATTCACATGTATACAACTCCTACATTATTAATCTATGACTAGTGAATGTAATCTATTGCCCAAGATGGGCAACCTTTAATCCTAGCCTTTCTGCTTTGTACACCAGCTGCTTCTGCTTCTCTAACAGTATGGCTCCTTGGGTTTGAACTTGTTCACGATCACACCTTCCTCCTGTTTCTTGGATTCTTTTTCAACCTTAGCAGGTACCTCCGTAGTGACTTGGGATCTGATGGAAACTACTGTTCCACTGATAGAAACATCTCTGTATTGCAATGAAACCTGAGAAACAACACCCCAGATCATACTCCAATTAACCAATTACATTGCAGCGCTAAAATTGCACTCTCAATACATGTTATGGAACGTAAACGTACCTTCCTGAAGACTACTCTATCTGGGGAAGCGATAAAGGTCTTGCTTTGAAGAGAGGTGGACTTGGAGGATGGAAAGGAGATCGCAGCAGTTCCCGCTGCAGCCATGTTGTTGTAAAAACTAAGGAGATAGGGAAAGAGAGAGTAATGTTAAATGGAGTGATGATATATGTACAGTGAAGTACGAAAAGAAAGGGAAGGAGGGTAGGATCGTTTTTCCGGTTGCATTGAGGATTTTAAGATTGGGTGGATGAGATTTTTAAGCCAATGCAGTGGCAGATGTGAGGATAAGCCTATTTGTACGTGTGACAATCAACCCTGTGAGGACCTTTTTAACCTAAGGATCTTTGACCACTAACTTCGTTAACTAAGACCATTCGACCATAAGATTAAGAGGTTCGAGGGCAGTACTGAAAAAACAACCCTATTTTCCTTTTCTTTTTATTCTAATATGGTTTTAAAGTTTTAAAATTTTCGCGATATAGTTTTGTTTCACCTTAAAATATATTACACAGAACACTTTTTAAAATTCTGTTACACAACTGTGTATATGTGTAAAATACTAAATAAAACATGCTCTTTAGAATCTGCACCACAGTTTTCTTGTGCTTATAAAACTTATATGAATGAAATTACGGAGGTACAAGGGACACAGCTTTTTTTTTTATATATACATTAATGAAAATTGAAAACTTGACCTAATACAAACTATTTAAATCCCTCCTCACTATATCAATCCTAATGGGTTAGGGATACAGAGCGTTGATATGGCGTCAAATTATTCACAAAAGAAATGGGTCAGAGGCTTTGTGCAACACTTCACTTGGGCATTTGTGTTCGTAATTATGGGCCGTCTAAGCCCGTGAGAGATTGGGCTTAGCTGTAGCTTGTGGTCCGGACTTTGACCGGATACACATGTGACATGTATGGCGCCGAAGCTTGGAAACTGCAAGTTTGACCGGATGGTGGAGCCTTTTTTTTGGGGCGAAAAAGAATCCTCTCTCCTCTAAGAACGAGAACGAGAACTCAACTATATCTCATGACATTTTTCCGAATCGTGCCGGTTCTTTGTTGAATTTCATTTCCATCCTTGGAAATTGCCCATCTCCTTTTCTGTCTTTCGATTTTTACGTTTGAATTTTTTTTATTTTTTTGTCACTTTAATTTTGTTCTCAGAAAAATGCACGAGAATAAAACGTGAATTGAATGCAAGTACTTCGGGATGTCATTGTTGTCAGAATCGAATAAAATGATGTTTTGACCAGATTGGATTCAGATACAGATACAGGATTCTGATTTACTTTCTGATTGTTTCTCGTTCTAATCAACCCGGTCGGAATCTCAGTCTTAGTTTTGTAGCTACCCTTTTCTTTACATTCTTTTATATTTTTGTGATTGGCATCGTGCCAGTGACTTGTGCTAATATTGGCTCTAAGTCGAAAGCTTCATTTTCGATTGCTTATGTTTTAGTCAGCAATAGAATTTTACACTTGTTTTGACTGCCTTTTGATTTTGCCATATTTCGTTGCTCTTCTGACTTCAGCTTCATTATGTATTCATTCAGGATTCTTGGTTTCCTAAGGAATTAAATCATGCAATCCAGATATTTAGCCCAGCTGAAAAAGCAAGAAATGGAAAGTATATACATTTCATATAATAGCTAGCTTCCACTCGGACTTGAATAGTATCTTGTTGAGAGGCTGACAGCAACTTGTTATCATCAACAACACAAGTATTCATTATTCAACCCTCGCATATGCCTAATTCTTGATTCCACTTTCCAAAGGATAGCCAATGGCGCTTTTGCACGCCCTAGGAGAATACTTTTGGTCAAAACGCAGCATAGTGACCAATGAAATAAAAATAACCCTGTCGTGGGTTATATTGAACACGTCCGGTCCAACTCTATTAGTCGACCACTCGACCCTTTGGACCATGATCCACCGCCAACATTCAGGTCAACTACTTGTGCATATATTCTCCGCTTACTATTCGTCCCCGGAAAAACTGAGGAATCATTCAAAGTATTCTCCTAGTACTCTTTTCAATGTTTTTTCTATCTGGTCCAATGCAGATGAGTTAGTAAACAATTGTAGACAGTAGCCCGCAACACTTTAGGATCTACTTTGAGGGTAAAAAATATCCTCAAAAGACTACAAGTGAAATGGTCACTCGTACCATGTGCTCAGGGATAGTTTAGCTCACAATCTAACTTGACATTGATTTGATTGATGCCTGTGTAGTCTAGACTATAGAGTACCAGTTATAGAGGGAGGGGAGGGAAAGGTGGGAAGTGGAAGAGATGAATTAGGAAAACAATTCTCTAGATAGTTGAAAGTGGATCTGAACATTTGAAATGAATAGATTGTATACATACTGGGAGAATTACTGAGCAGATGCAAAGGACTGAAAAACCTTTACAAATTAACAATGATGACAATGTACAATTTTCTTCCTATTGATGTAATTAATGAAATCCTCTTGAACCTCTAGACTGATAAAACTCCAACCAACTCTTGGCTTTTTGCAATAATTCATCGAGGGTTTCATCCTGTGTCATGGAAGATTGCTTGGACGCCCATTCAAGCACTCCGAGCACCTCAGCCATAGCTAGTTCTTCCCTGTCTGGCGCATGCAATGCGATGTAGGAGAGCAGAAGTAATGCTGGAATCTGAACCATCTGTTCTCCAAAATATACAAGCTGAACCAAGTGTTTTGCCCCACCTTCGCTAACAATTGCCTTGGAATGATCAAGGTTAAGGTAGTTTTCAGTGCAGGCGAATTTCCCAAGGGCAATTGATGCCTCTCTTTCGTCGAGAAGTCTCACCAAGGGACCAATCATCCTTGTCTCTGTAGTCGGAAATGTCCTTGCCAAATTCCCAATCGTCTTGATGCAAGGAATTAGGAGGTCTGAATCTGCTTTCTCAATAATCCTAAGCACTTGATCAACAACAGCTTTGCAAGCAGGAGAGTTAGGCTTGAATGCATATTTCCTCAATTTAGTATTATTCTCTGCCACTGTTGTAATCTCCATCACTGCCATGGCAGAATTGTACTGTACAGCTTCAGGTCCTCTCTCAAGGAGAACTGCAAAGCACAACAGGGCCCTTGATTCTGTGATGCTATGACAAATGAGGGAGTTACCCTTAGCAAGGTGCCAGAGGGCTCTAGCTGCCATTTCCTTCATGCTGGTCTTAGTCTCAGGGTCTTCAAGTTCCCTTCCCTTCATGTTTATTCCCGAAGGAGAATAGTTACGCTGATGACCCTGCTTGTCATAATCTTCATTTTCCTTCTTCAAATTACTAGTAGCCATCACAACCGCATGGATTGATGGGGGTTTCGGGCTAACAATGTCATACTTACTATGCTCTTCAACAGTTTCAGAAGCAAGGTGGCCAACAAGCAACCTTATAATATTGTGCTGAGCAAAAAGGTCTTGACACTCCGGGTGATAAGCAGCAAGCTCAGACACAGCCCACGCCACAACAGCTTGCACTTTCATGGGACCTTCTCTGAGGATTTCCGCAAACACCGAGAGAACACCCACGTGAATCATGTGCTCGACGCTCTTGGGGTCACGCGCGAGGAGACCAATGGCACGTGCGGTATTCTCTTGACCCTCCATCTTACCCTCCTTCATCAACGGACCAACCCCACCTTCCTCGATGATCAAATTCCCGTAACGGTCGCTGCCGCGTGCCAGCGACACCAGGGAAGCCGCCGCGTCGATCCGGTCCTCCAGCGAACCGGTGTAGAGTATAGTGATCTGTTCCCAAATGAGGCAGAGGATTGGCTCGTTGGCGGCGATAGGGGGTAGGCCGAGGAACTCGTCGCGGAAATCATCGCAGAAATCGTCGGCGGGGGCGGAGATGCTGAGGAGCCATGAGACATCGCCAATGGAATTTTCGAGTTGGGATGACATCTTGCGGAACGCGGCGGCGGGGATGATGGTGAACAAACGCTTCATGAGGCCGTTAGCTCGGCACTTGAGGACCAAAGAGAGTGCTTTGTAAAGGACCTGCTCCGTTTCGTCGATGATCCGCCGCGTCAGCCGCTCGTAGAGGCAGGAGCTGGACCTCGCTGCCTGCCGGAGAACCACTGCTAGCTTCTCCGCCTTGGACTTAAGCTCCACGCATTCTTGCTTGAACAAGCTTGCCTCGTCGGTGGTCTTTGCCACTTGGTCTGCCAGCATGATCGGCCTTGCCAATATGTAAGCCATGGCTCACCAAAACTATGTGATCTGAATTCTGATCAAATGGGTCAATGGGGGCTTGGGTTTTTCTTCTTCTTCTTCCTTGACTTTTACATATTCATGACCAAAAGGGTGCAAGGTTTCTAACGCGGGGATAAGAGAGGAAAAGAAAATAAAAGATATTCTCTTTCTTGCTTGAAAGTTAAAACCCAAAAATAAAGTAATTTTAAGAATAAAGGCCTTTTTGTGTTCCTAACAAAAATATTTATCTCTATTTTTGTCTTTTATAAAAATAATATTCATATTAATTTTTTTTACGAAGTAAATTAGAACTTCGTTGAATTTACGAGGAATTATATTTTTAAAGAATTATAATAATAAAGGAACTAAAAATTAATTTTTTTTAATAAATCGTGTTTTTTTTGTTACATCGCAAAACTTTACTCTAATTTTAAAATCAAAAGATTTTGGACAGTTCTATGAAATTCTCCAATTCCTTTATATATTTTTTTAATTGGTCTCACTGATATTACCCTCCCCAAAATGATGTCCTTTTCTTCCCATTACCCCCTTTTCTCCTCTTCTTTAATTTTTCATGCTTTTTTTTTTCTTCCCACTACCCCCACTTTTCTCCTTTTCTTTAATTTTTCTTGGTTTTTTGTTTGGGAGTAATTTTTAGGAAGAAAAAAGCAGAAAAAATTTAATTTATTTGTAAGTTTAAAAACAAAATGAGTGAAAAGAATTGGATAATTTAACAAAATCCCCCAAAATCTTTATTATTATTATTATTAAAATTAAAGTTCTCTCATTTTAGAAGATTTTAACTACCAAACAAGAAGGAGGAATATCCTCCATTTTCTTTCTGCTTCCTACAACAAAAACTTAAAAATAAAAAATAAATTTACTTTTTTACCCTTTTTTTCTTTTAAAGAGAAGGGACCATTAAAGTTTTTCTTACTTGCTACAAAAATGAGGATGCACTTTTCTCTCATATTTCTTTCTCTTCTCTCAATCTCATAACTCAAATTGGATCCTAACTCAAAGGAAAACAAAAGTTTTAGTTATTTTATTTCACTTATTGAGCGGTCTCTACCCCCTTTCTTTTCTTGCCTTTATTTCTTTAGAATCTTATTTTTTCACTTTAATGAAATTGTTATTCTAATTGAATTTTTGAGACAGTTTGAACTGTATATTTTTATGTGTGTCTAGAAAAAAAATTTATATATTAATCCCTACTTTTATAGACGAATTTGAACTTTTCAGTTTTCAATCCTATTTAAGTAATTTCTGGATATATTTTATTTTTCTTATTTAAGTAATATCTTTTTTGTAATATCTAGTATCGAGGATTAGTTCACTTGTAAAAAGTGGCTCAACTAGTAAACTTGAGCTTTTAACAGTTGGGAGACTCACATAGTGTTTAAAATTTGAGCTTGCAGGAAAATAATTTTGGAGATGGAAACCTTTGTACTATTAGCAATAATTAATATCACATCAAAATATAAGAAAATATTATTAAAATAATTCAGAGTTAACTCTCGGAATTAGAAGTTCTGTGTAGCACTTTATTAAAAGATTCAAAGTGCTGTAATGTCTTCTTTTAGGCTACGTAAAATTATCATATGATAGTGAAAGCTGGGTGAATCAAAATCTACAAATAAGAGAATTAGGGGTATTAATATAGGTTATGACACGTGGGTCGACCCGCGACACGATACGAAAATTCGTGTTCGCGTTGACCCGTAAAAAAATTTGTGTCGTGTTAGTGTTAGAAAAAATGACACGTAAAAAATTCATGTCGTGTTCGTGTTGAGGTATTCGTGTCCATGTCGACCCATTTTTTTTATTATTATTTTTTATTTTTTATTATTAGTTTTTAATTTTTTTAATTTTAAACCATTTTTTTAAATTTTTTTGTCAATTACCATTTTGACCCATATTTTGCGTGTTATTCGCGTCGTGTCAACATGCAAAAAATTTGTGTTGTGTCAGTGTTGAAGATTTTGACACGAATAAAAATTCGTGTCGTGTTAGTATTGATGTATTCGTGTCATGTCAAATTCGTATCGTGTCAACCTGTTTTTGACACTCCTAAAGAGAATATAAGCACAATAAAATCAAGAGTAGCCCTGACCTAAAAATGTAATGCCTTTGGAACGGTTTAAACTAAACGCTTGTGGTGTATTGCTATACTGTGTTAATAATTCAATGGGAAATATCAGAACTAGAAGTAAGAAGGTTGGATGCAGCTGGAAATTAAAAGTAGTTGTATAATAATGTTGGGAAGATTGGGAATCACATTTGGGATATTTGCTGCTGTTTGACTCTCCATCTTATATTTTTCCTCTGGGTTCGGTTCCTAGTTCAATCCTCAACGAAATGCTAAAAGAAGGGCCTTAAAAAAAGAAAGGAAAATAAATGGTTGGATTACTGGAAGTGGTTCCCACGAAGGATTGAGGTTTCCTGGTTATGAAGGTGCCATTTACCATGCCAGTGCTCCATTTAATATCAGATTAGCTTTTGGGATACTGAATTTGATTTGATACGAACTACAAATTGTGCTTAGATAATGATTACTTGAATATTTTTTAAAGTTTTAAGATATTGGATACTTGGGAAAGGTTATATTTACTATTTTTTTTTTCTTACTACTTGTTGCTACCAAATCTTAACCGTTGATTTCCGTTAATCTAACGGTTATAATTTATTGGATTACATTAATTAATTAATTATTAATTTTCAATAAATTATAACCGTTAGATTGACGGAAATCAACGGTTAAGATTTGGTAGTAAGAATTAGTAAAAAAAAAAAAGATAGTAAGTATAATCTTCCCCTATATGTGTGTGTGTGTGTGTGTATATATATATATATATATGGATAAGTTATTTTACCTGTTTATTTTTTTGTCTACCTTTGTCTACTACTCTAAAATACCATTAGATTAAAATCTTAACAAATCTTTACCTTTCTCTTTCATCTTGAGAGTCTGATCTAATGATATTTAGAGTGGTAGGAAAATGTAGACATAAAAAATGATAAGTAGATTAACATATTTCACACATATATATATTTAGAGAGGTAGAATCCTTTGACAAAATTTGACACCTTATTTGAGAGCCGTTAGATAAAAAAAGATCAACGACTCTGATTTGTAAGCATGTGATATCATTGATCTTTTTTGATCTAACGGCTATCAGATGATGTGTCAAATTTTAATTTTGACACTGGTGTCAAAGGATCTTACCTTATATATATATATATATATATATATATATATATATATATATATATATATATATATATATATATATACAGAGAGAGGCGGGATCCTTTGACACCTCATCTGAAAGTTGTTAGATAAAAAAAAAATCAACGACTCTGATTTGTAAACATGTGACATTGTTTATCTTTTTTGATCTAACGGCTCTCAGATAAGGTGTCAAATTTTAAATTTGACACTAGTGTCGAAGAATCCTACCTCATATATATATATATACACACCAACTTATATTTAAGCCTAATTAATCCGAGGCTTTTATGTTTCTACATTAAATATAGATAATTTATCTACATTGACTCCTAAAACGACATTGTTTTAAGTTTAAAGATTAAAAAATTATAAAGAAAATGACTATTATAACTCTGAAATAAATTATAATTATAAAAATATATTGATTTTAGTCTCAAAACAATTTTGTTTTAGACTCAATATAAATAACTTATCTAGCAGAAAAAATAAACCCTAATTCGATTTCGGTTTTTAACCTCTTCACTTTTTGTAAAAATTGCGATTCCTAGCAATCTAACTTATCTCTGCGGTTTTTATTTTCAACTCTTTAATCCATGTTAACAAAAAAAGAAAAAACCCCATAATTATCATGGAGTGGAGTGCCGTTTCAAATTAAGAAACTATTTGGCTTTAAGTATTTCTACGATACAAATGTTTTTTAAATAATGAACTTTACTTTTCAAATCAGAGTTATACTTAAATGAAGTGATAGTCCACCAGTGGAGTATATAATTCAAGTTACAACTCCTAGGGGCTGTTTGGTTGAAGGAATCTGAACAGAATGATAGATAAATCATAAATGGGAAAGGAAGAAAGCAGCGTTTGGTGTGTTGGGTTTTCTCACTTAGTTAGGTAACTGTGATTGAAGGCATTCCTATTTCCCTATGTATATGTACTGATTTAGCCAGCCATAGAAACCCATTTGCAAGGTGGTATTGTGGAATACCTCCACATTTGCTCACTGACTGTACACAAAAAAAGACCAGTGTGCCCCTTGTTCCAGCTAAAGTACTTGCAGTGTCCCAAAAGTTCAAGTTCCAAAATACGGTGTTGAAGTACAGAGTCCAATCCTTCTTCACCCCTTCTTGACCCAAACTCAGCCATCTACTGGGATCAATTTTAGGCAATGAAATCAAAGACAGCAACACAAAAGGTAAAAGGGAAATAATCCCCATAGCAACTGCAGTGTAACCAACTATAGCTAAACCAGAATAATTCAGAAAAGATAGCACAGAAGTGGATATGAATATGGACACATAATGAGGTAAACCAGAAGACAATGTTGGAATTACCAATTTGAGGGAACCCCAAAAGGGACCAAAGGGTTCATTAGCCCATATAACAAAGCCACCATTGCAGGTGTAAGATACCGATCAGAGGATATTAAATTCGGATATTACAAGCAGGTGTGAAGAATTGGTGTATATATGCAGGTGTGCAAATAAGTTTGTCTTCTTTTTTCCTCACATTCCCTTTTGATGGCTCTTTTTTATAGTGTGCCGGCCAATCAAAAGTAAGGAAGCCTTTGAGAAAGGTTAGTTATAAAGTCAGGGTTAATTTTGTAAACTCGCACGCATTTTCCCATCTATATGTTACTTACAGCCAAACATAGACTTTACAAAAGTTACCTAAGTTTCCCTGTAAATTTTTTTCCAACCAAACAACTTTTTCTTACATTTTCCTACCAATCTCACTTCCCACCCATTTCCCTATACATAACACTTCCCTATCATTCATAATATTTCTCCTCAACCAAACGCCCCCCTATAGTCTTTAGTCTTTACTAGAAGGCTGTGTTTGTGAAGTGGAGATTCCAGGTCTACTTCCCCATTTTTTATTCTTCTTACTTCCAAAAGACCTTGATAAAGTTATAGAAGTTACATTGTAAACAAAAAAAAAATAAAAATGCTAACTTATGCTTTATCAGTACAACTGGAACAGTTTTTTACCTTACAAAAAAAACTATTTTTCTTAACATGTTTTTCCTTTCGGTAGATGAAAGTTTAAAGAATAAAATATATTTAAAATTTAAGCATAACCTAATTCCTAAAAAGTTAAGCATAAACCCATTTTTTCCTTTTCTTTTTATTCTAATATGGTTTCAAAAATTTTAAAATTTTCGTGATATAGTTTTGTTTCACCATAAAATATTAGTTTTCGTGATTTAATATTACATAGAAAACTTTTTAAAATTCCGTTATGCAACTATATAGATGTGCAAAATAATACTAAATACAACATGCTCTTTAGAATCTGCACCACGGTTTTTCTTTGTGCTTATAAAACTTATTCGAAAGAAATTATGAAAGGTACAAGGGATACAGAGTGTAGACTGGACTCCAAAATACTTACATGCGGTGCGCATTTCTTGGGCCATAGCAACAAGCTCCTGTTGTTGTGCAAAACTTCACTTGGGCATTTGTGTTAGAAAATATGGGCCGTCTAAGCCCGTGAGAGATTGGGCTCATCTGTAGCTTGTGGCCCGGACTTTGACCGGATACGCATGAATGGGGCTGAAGCTTGGAAAGTGCTAGTTTGACCGGATGCTGGAGCGGTTTTTTTGGGGCGAAAAAGAATCTTCTCTCCCCTAAAAACGACATCTCAACACTATCTCATGAGATTTTTCGGAATCGTGTTGGTTCTTGGTTGAATTTCATTTCCATCCTTAGAAATTATGCACGATTTATGTACAAAAAGAAGAAGAAGAAGAAGAAATTATGCACAATTTTTGTTTTGAATGATTTATCTATTTGTTACTTCAATTTTTGTTCTCGGAACAATGTACGAGAAAAAAGAAACGTGAATCGAATGCAAGTACATATGCGGGATGCCATTGTTGTCAGAATCGAATCAAAGGATGTTCTGACTACATTGGATTCAGATAAAGGTGCGTGGAAAATTTCTTGATTCCGAGAGCTTTTAGTTCCTGCTTTAAATGAATGAACTAATGTCGTACGTAGAGTAGGATTTTGATTAATTTAGTTTCTAATTATTTCTCCCGTGGTTTTGTGATTCTCTTTCTAACCAACCCAGTCGGTCGGAATGCAAGGAAATGAACATGATACATTGAGGTGAATCTCAGTCTTAGTTTTGTAGCTACCCTTTTCTTTATATTCTTGTGATTGGCAATTGGCATTGTGCCAGGGACTTGTGCTAACATTGGCGCTGAGTCGAAAGCTTCATTTTGGATTGCTTATGCTTTATTCAGCAATAGAATTTTACACTTGTTTTGACTGCCTTTTTATTTTGCCATATTTCGTTGCTCTTCTGACTTCAGCTTCATTTTGTATTCGTTCAGGATTCTTGGTTTCTTAAGGAATTAAATCATGCAATCCAGATATTTTGCCCGGCAGAGAAAGCAACAATTGATAAGTGTATACATTTAATATTTTCAACAATTTATAAGTGTATACATTTCATATTTTGAATAATTGATAAGTGTATACATTTCATATTTTGCCCGCCAAGTATCGTAGCTAGCTTCCATTCGGACTCGAATAGTATCTTTTTTGTTGAGAGGTTGTTAGCAACGTATTAACATATCAACAATACAAGTATACAACCCTCGGATATGCCTAATTCTTGGTTCCACTTTCCAAAGGATAGACAATGGCGTTTTTGCACGCGTAGGAGAATACTTTTCAAAAGTAAGCATAGGGACATGATGGAATCAAAAATAAATAGAACTAATCCTGACGTGGGTTATTTTGAACACGTCCAACTCTATTAGTCGACCCTTTGGACCATGACCCGCCTCCAAACATTCAGGTCAACTAGCCTTGTGCATATATTCCCTGCTTTCTATTCGTCCCCGGAAAAACTGGGTAATCATTCAAAGTATTCTCCCAGTACTCTTTTCAATCTTTTTTCTATCTGGTCCAACGCAGATGAGTTAATAAACAATTGTAGACAGCAAAGCCTGCAACACTTTAGGATCTACTTTGAGGGTAAAAATATCCTCAGAAGATAAAAAGAGAAATGGTCACTCGTACCATGTGTTTAGGATCTACTTGACATTGATGCCTGTGGAGTCCAGACTATAGAGTACCAGTTATAGAGGAAGGGGAGAAAACAATTCTCTAGATAGTTGAAAGTGGATCTTGACATTTGAAATGAATAGATTGTATACATACTGGGAGAATTATTGAACAGATGCAGAGGACTGAAAAACCTTTACAAATTAACAATGATGACAATGTATTATTTTCTTCCTATTGATGTAGTTTATGAAATCCTCTAGAACCTCTAGACTGATAAAGCTCCAACCTACTCTTGGATTCTTGCAACAATTCCTCGAGGGTTTCATCCTGTGTCATGGAAGATTGCTTGGACGCCCATTCAAGCACTCCGAGCACCTCAGCTCGAGCAAGTTCTTCACTGTCTGGCACATGCAATGCGATGTAGGAGAGCAGAAGTAATGCTGGAATCTGAACCATCTGTTCTCCAAAATAAACAAGCTGAACCAAGTGTTTTGCCCCGCCTTCGCTAATAATTGCCTTAGAATGATCAAGGTGAAGGTAGTTTTCAGTGCAGGCAAATTTCGTAAGGGCAATTGATGCCTCCCTGGATACCTCTGCCTCTCTTTCGTCAAGAAGTCTCACCAAGGGACCAATCATCCTTGTCTCTGTAGCCCGAAATGTCCTTGCCAAATTCCCAATCGTCCTGATGCAAGGAATTAGGAGATCGGAATCTGCTTTCTCAATAATCCTAAGCACTTGATCAACGACAGCTTTGCAAGCAGGAGAGTTAGGCTTGAATGCATATTTCCTCAATTCAGCATCTTTCTCTGCAGCTGATGTAATCTCCATCACTGCCATGGCACAATTGTACTGTACAGCTTCTGGTCCTCTCTCAAGGAGAACTGCAAAGCACAACAGGGCCCTTGATTCTGTGATGCTACGACAAATGAGGGAGTTATCCTTAGCAAGGTGCCAGAGGGCTCTAGCTGCCATTTCCTTCATGCTGGTCTTAGTCTCAGGGTCCTCATGCTCCCTTCCCTTCATGTTACTTCCCGAATGAGAATAGTTACGCTGATGGCCTTGCTTACCATCATTAACAAGTCCATTGATCTTGTGATGACTAACCTGGGAATTTCGATTTGCTTCGTTTCCCTGATTAGACTCTGGCAGCTGCTTGGAGGCAGCATGCATTGCCATGGTACTTGTGATCACTCTATGCAGATTTTTAGATCTTTCACCCAAGGGATGTGCTATCCGACTCAAACTCTGGACCTGCTTGTCATAATCTTCATTTTCCTTCTTCAAATTACTAGTATTACTAGTATTACTACTAGCCATCACAACCGCATGGATTGATGTGGGTTTCATGCTAACAATGTCATACTTACTATGCTCTTCAACGGTTTCAAAAGCAAGGTGGCCAACAAGCAACCTTATAATATTGTGCTGAGCAAAAAGGTCCTGACACTTGGGGTAATTAGCAGCAAGCTCAGAGACAGACCAGGCCACAACAGCTTGCACTTTCATGGGACCTTCTTTGAGGATTTTCGCAAACACCGAAGAAACACCCACGTGGATCATGTGCTCAACGCTCTCGGGGTCACGCCCGAGGAGACCAATGGCACGTGCTGCATTCTCTTGACCCTCCATCTTACCCTCCTTCATCAACTTCAACAACGGACCAACCCCACCTTCCTCGATGATCAACTTCCCGTAACGGTCGCTGCCGCGTGCCAGCGAGACCAGGGAAGCCGCCGCGTCGGACCTGTCCTCCGGCGAACCGGTGTAGAGTATAGCGATCTGTTCCCATATGAGGCAGAGGATTGGCTCGTTGGCGGCGATGGGGGGTAAGCCGAGGTACTCGTCGCCGCGATCGTTGGCGGGGGCGGAGACGCGGAGGAGCCAGGAGACATCGCCGATGGAATTTTCGAGTTGGGATGACATCTTGCGGAACGCGCCGGCGGGGATGATGGTGAACACGCGCTTCATGAGGCCGTTAGCGTTGCACTTGAGGACCAAGGAGAGTGCTTTGTCAAGGACCTGCTCCGTTTCGTCGATGATCCGCCGCGTTGGCCGCTCGTAGAGGTCGGAGCTGGACCTCGCCGCCTGCCGGAGAAGCCCTGCTAGCTTCTCCGTCTTGGACTTAAGCTCCACGCATTCTTGCTTGAACAAGCTTGCCTCGTCGGTGGCCTTTGCCACTTGGTCTGCCAGCAGGATCGGCCTTGCCAAGGTTTGCTTCACTATGTCAGCCATGGATCACCAAGTTTTGGTCTTTGTTCGCGATCTGATCAAATGGGTCAATTGGGGTTTGGGGTTTTTTTTTTCTTCTTCTTCCTTGGATTTTACAGATTCAGAACCAAAAGGGAGCAAGGTTTGTAATGGTGGATAACTGATGGGATTTGATTTTTCAACGTCAAACGCGGGTTTTTTTTTGTTTTTTTTTTTCTTTCGTCTTTTATAAACCTGGTCTCACTGGAATTACCATCTCCAAATAGATGTCCTTTTCTTCCCCCTACCCCCCTTTTCTCCTCTCTTTTTTTTTTTTTTTTTTCCTTGCTTTTTAAGCTTAGTCTTAACCTACCCCACTAGGTGATTCGCCGCTTCCCTTGCCCTCAAAATCAGTACACAAGCACATGGTACGAGGATGCACTTTTCCCCCCCACTTTTTTATTTTGTGCCGTTCTGGTTTGGATTTTATATATTAGGATTCATAATAATTCACATTGTGTTGTAATATATGCTAACTATATAATTCACTTGGTTTTCTACTCACAATTTTGCTTGCCATTTTCAGTCGAAAAGAAAGGTTAACTGATAATTTGGTTTTATTCAACGAATAACTCCAATCCAGTATTTGAGAACAACAGTTTTTATCAAGTGGTGTAGAGTTAGGAGAATTCCTGTTCTTATTATATGTCGAGTTCGGGCTCATACAAAATTCCATTCTAGTGTGAGATTGTAGGAAGAAGACAATAAGGTGGATGTGCCGGTAAAAGAGAATTTTTTTTTTTTTACCAGATGAATATAATTATTGGAAAAATTGTGAGAAAGTAAGTTTACTGATAAAGTTGAAAAAAATTATTTGGTTGGACGAAATATTATAGAGTAAATTGATTAAAGTTTTGTAAGTCCATGTTTGATTGAGGGCAAAATATTGATGGGAAAGTGGTATAAAATGACAAGAGTAACCTTTTTTAAATTTTGAAAAATTGACAAAAGTAACTTTGGCAGAGATGTACACTCTGATGAGATTAGGTTACAAAAGGTATATCAGTCACGTTTCTCATTTTCTTTTATCAATTTACTCAGTCAACTTACAAATACCATATTGTAAGTGACATTTTTTATCCGTGTTTCTCTTTTGTTTTTTCTCACAATTGATAATGGATAGGCAAATTGGTTTGCTTGTAAAATTTTCGAAAATCGTGAACCAAACGTGGTCAAGAAGAAATAACACTTACTGATGCCTAGCTATCTCATAGGAATACACGAACCAAACGCACCCTTGGGGAATCTTGAGAAGTCCATGTGTTTATTTGTGACTAATAAAGTCTTCTAAATATCTAATTACTTGTTTTGTCTACTGAATCATTGTATAAGGGGGCGTTTGGTTAAAGCTTTCTGAGAATTTTCTCAGTCATCCATATTTGGCATTATGAGTTGCCTCTGTTTGGTAGAAGAAAACCAAAAATATACCCATGAAACTTGGTTCCCCAGCCATTGACAAACACATGCAAAAAAGCAAGATATTCACTATGCGATTTAACCACTTCGAACATGGTTTTTCCATAAAACCTGCTAAATGAAACCAAGTGGATGAAAATTGTGACAAAACTACCCCCTCCTACCAACGAGCAAAGTAACCCTCGCACAACGCCAACATCTGTGAGAAATATCAATTTGTGGGTTGCAGACCACATCACTCTTCGGCGACAGAGTTTGCAGACATCTGTATATAGACCTTGATTTTATCATTGAGTTCATGATAAACATTTCCAGTATAGCCCCCATTACAGAAGTAAACATTGCTGGAACATTATGTTGAACATGCTCCAATAACGAGCATCACCTAATTTCACCTTCTTTGAGATGAGGTTCAATTCATCAATGATGTCTGTGACACTTGTCTCCCATTTTCGAGTATAGGGCTTGATCTTTTCATGTTGGAGTAGCTGATCCCCTTCACTTTTTTTTGCCTTCAACAGCCCTTGAAACATTGTTGGTCCTTATTGAGTTATAGAGGAAGATTGAAGAGGAAGCCGAGTGTGTTCTAGATATGGAGACATTGCTTCTATATATCTTGAAGACACGGGATTGTGCTCTGTAACATTAAAAAATTGAATCAAAGGTTATTTTTGTAATTAATACTAATTTTTTCATCAATATTTTACTTTCAGCTAAACGTAGACTCATATAATTTAATCTAATTTTCTCAGTAATTTTTTTCTTCAACCAAACAACTTTTTTAAACTTTCCATACCAAACTCATTTTTCCACCGTTTTTCTAGTAATTATATTTACTTGCTTAAAAAAAAATTCTCTTTTATCAAACGTCCCCTAAACGTATTCTAATCAAGTTGGTTGAAGATTTCACTAAAAAAAAGTTTGGGTGACGAAGATCGAAAAATAAATAACGTGGTGGAAGTGACTCAATTTGACTTGCATAAATAGGGTGCAACTGTTACATATGACCTTTTGGCCTTTAGAGGATGTGAATTGAGCACCCCGTGGATAGGCTAATTATAAATATTGGGCTATTCTAAATTTAATCCTAGGAAATATTAAGGCTGCGCATGACAACCATTTTAATTCCTAGCACTGTTTCTGAAAAAAATGATTTTTTTTTCTATTTCTGTGCTTTGGAAGAGTTCTGAAAATTAGAATTACGTTTGTTAACATATTTTATTTTTCCTCCGAGAATTAGAATTACGTTTGTTAACACAATTTCTTTTTTCATTCTCAGAATTAGAATTTCATTGGGTATTGGGTTGCTGTATTACAAGAAATTGCAGGTTTGGAATTGTTTACCAATAACAACATTTGGCAATTCACGGTGAGCGAAAAGGATTACCTAGGTAACTCAATTTCTGTCCAAAATGGGTACCCATAAACCTGCAAAAACAGCAATAACAGTTACTTCATTAGGAAATAGTGTTCCAAGAAGTTAAATTCCTCACAGGCATTTTATCAAACAGCATCCTGGCAGTTCCCATATCACCAAACATAGAATACATTGAAAGGAGAGAATTGCCCACATAAATATCTGACTCCAACCCATCAACCAACACCAAAGCATGAACCTTCCTACCCAATTCATAAACCAAAAGGTCACCACACGCCTTGAGAACAGATGGAGAAAACAAGAGAGATAGAAAAAACGTAGGACCAAAAGAAGACCAGAGGGACGAATACCAAGTGGGAGACAGAATAACCATTCAAAAGGGGTTGTTCTAGTACGCTGCCATAGTCACTGAGTGGGTGAGAGTGTGAGAGAAAACTGATTCTCTTTTTGTGTCCATAATTAGAAAAGCAGAAAATTTTTTATTCTTTTTTTTGTTCCCCAGCGTAAAAAAAAAACCGATTCATCCCTGGAACAAAAAAATAAACCGATTTTATCAAACGCAATTCTCATCCATTTTTGTTCCAGGGAACATAAATTAAAAAAAAACTCATTCCGGAAAAGTTGTCATGCACACTAAGTCTAATGAAGATACAAAACGGAGGAATTAGAGAAGGCATTCTCTTCATCATACTTTCATAATAAGAGTTTATTGGAAATAATGACATTTCCATTACTGAGGTTTGGTGTTATACTAATTAAATCAAAATTCATGGTGCTCTGAATCATGCCGAGTCAACTATGATTTGGTCAGAATATGTCGATGGACATTGGTGTAAAGTTTTTCAACGGTTTCAATTTTTCTTCCATTTTTTATTGAATTAATCACAACGTGTTTTATTTCTACGTTAGACTACGAACTACGAATAAAAGGATATGAAAAATGCATTTCCCTACTTTTATATACGAATTTGAACTTTTCAGTTTTCAATCCTATTTAAGAAATTTCTGGATTTATTTTTATTTTTATGTTTCGTAATATCTAGTACTGAGGATTAGCTTACTTGTAAAAAGTGGCTAAATTAGTAAGCTTGAGCTTTTAACAGTTGGGAGACTTATATAGTGTTTAAAATTTGAGCTTGCAGATAAATAATTTTGGAGATGGAAACCCTTGTACTATTAGTAATAATTAATGGGTTTTGAATTTTTTTTATGTTGAATGGTAATTATTTTTCATGTTATGACTTAATTATGATGAACTCTATATTTATTAAAAAAAAAAGTTTTTATACACAAATATAAAGGTCACAGTTTGAAAATATGTTTTTTTTTTTTTGATAAAAAGAAAATATGTTTTCCATGTAACATCAAACTATTTTTTTTATAATTTATATCACATTAAAAAAATTATAAGAAAATATTATTAAAATAATTCAGAGTTTGCAGCTGGCAACTAAGAAATAATTGTATAATAATATTGGGAATCACATTTGGGATATTTGCTGCTGTTTGACTCTCCATCTTATATTTTTCCCCTTTGTTCGCTTCCTAATTCAATCCTCAAAAGCTAAAAGAAGGGCCTTAAAAAGGAAGGGAAGTGGTTCCCACCAAGGATTGAGGTTTTCTGGTTATGAAGGTGCCATCTATCATGCGTGTGCTCCATTCAATATCAGATTAGCATTTGGGATACTGCATTTGATTTGACAGGAACTACAAATTGTGCTTATAAAATGATGCTTTTTTATCTTAGTAGTATTATTTTTATAAAGTTTCACCGGAATAATTTCTTGGTCAAACATATTACCTATATAATGCATAACGACGCGGTACTATGGGAATCACTTTAGGACGTGACACTTTAACAACCGCGTCCTTTGCATTTGTTCTTGACCACTGGAACGTGATACCCTGGCAATCACGTCCTATTCCCAAGACCACTGGAACGTGATACCCTGGCAATATTCCCAAGACGCGGTACACTCTCAGCCACATGTTAGTGGGTCCCATCCCAAAAAGAATTCAACAAGAAGCGGTAGTGTATAAGCCGCGTTCCAGGTTACAAGTCAAGTCAAAGTCAAACAGATATATATGTTTCACCTAAAATTTAGGCATATTGATATATTCATTGTAAAAGAGTACATAAAATCTAATAAATCCAATAGTACCCAATCTTATACCCCTGTTTCGTGTTTGGTGTTTGGTCTGCTTTCTCGATTTCCAATATGTGAAAGAAACAATTTAATCCAAAATTTTTAATGATTTATATTAAGGTAAACAAAAAAAAAATAGAATCTATGCAAAATTCATACTTCAAGCCCAAAGGGCTTTTGTATGAATGAGTGTGTAAGTGAATAATATAAACTATTATAAAGACCTTCATCCAACACCTTAAAAT